TTTATTTCCATAATATATATATATATACACATATACATATATATATATATATATATATATATATACACACACACACATTCTTTTTAAATTTATTTTTAATTAAATAAATCAATAATAAATAAATCATAGCTATTGTGAAAAATATGATAAAAAATTACATTATTATTTAATTATTTAAAATATCAGTTATCAGACACTTAAACATCAAAATAACCTGTATCAGTCAAAAGGCAATATACAATCTATAATCTACAAATCACTGGTTTTGTGCATGATTGGCCACTTAAGAGAAGTGTGTTGAGGATTACTGGACGCCTGGTCCAACCCCATCATTGATAAATAGCAATAGCTAGTATCTCATTTGCTCTCATTCATATTTACTTTGTGGATCCTTGCGGACAGGTCGGGGGCCATCAAACACCTGCCGGGCCCCCGCCACTTGCCGCAAGGCTCCGTGGTGATAGGCGATGGCTACCAGGGTGCTTGAATTCCTAAAGCACACAGAGTGCTGATGGGTAAGGCCAATGTGAAAGCGGCTGCATGAGGGGAAAGGGGTGGGACACCATGGGCACTTCCCTATAAGGTCATCTCTCTGAATGAACAATAGGAACAGCTGTTAGAGCTGGACCCCTTCCACTTGGCTGTACTGTACACACTTGAAAGGGTTCATATGATGCGATTTTCATTTTTCCTTTCTCTTTGGAGTGTTACAAGCTCTTGGTGCATAAAGAAGATCTGTAAAGTTGCAAAGATTAAAGTCTCAAATCCAAAGAGATATTCTTTATAAAAGTTAAGAGTCAACCACGCCTACCTAAAACGGCTCGTTCTAACACATCCCCACATGTCTACGTCACAATGTGGGAAGATTTGCATAACGCCGCCCAAATGTTCACGCAAAGAAAGAAGGCGCAACTTTGATTCTCGCTGTAGTATTGTTGCTGCTGCCACCGCCATGCTGTGGAAGCGCTGTGTGTTTCGTTATGAAAGCGAAACTACTTCGTTTGGTCTTCCAAAAGAGGACACGACTAGAAATCAGTGGTTAAGTTGTATTTACAACACTGTTCCGGAACAGTTCAACCCACATATTCAGATGTGTGCAGCACATTTTATGGAGGACGAGGACTGTTTCCTGGGAGAGTAGCCTACAATGCCGGTGTCTGTTTCTATAAAGTGGGGCAATTCCAACTTTGCAAGGACAGTCTGGCGCTTCTGACTCTCAGTCTGTAAGTACATTTTCATATTTAAAGAATTTGCCACTGATGATTCAAACGCGAGTTTTGAGCAGTGTAGAGTAGCGCTTGTTGTTTGTGGTTTCTCCGATCACAAATGCAGACATGGTTTTATGTTTACGTGGTGCGATACGCAACGCGTAAAAAGACAGTACAAGTCATTATAATCTGTAATTATGTCCCCACTGGATGCAACAAATGCCTCGTTTATAATGGGTTTGAATGTTTTTGTCTCGGCCGGACAGGGCATCACAGTATGGTGAGGGGCATAACATTTCTGTCACACTCTTGAGGTATTCGGCCAATCACAACGCACTGGATAGCTGGCCAATCGGAGCACACCTCGCTTTTCAGACCGATGAGCTTTGTAAAAATTGACGCGTTTCAGAAAGGCGGGGCATAGAGGAGAAACAATAATGTACAGTATGTGGGAAATAATGTGGGTTTTTTTTACCTTAAACCACATAAACATTGCATTACACCAAATAATGTTTTTTAGCAACGTCATATGACCCCTTTGAAAAAATTTAATTGGTTTCAATTATTGTTCTTTCCTTAGCTGATCAGCATTACATAAAAATGACTGATCTTTGAAGATTGGAACAATGTCTAAAACATGTTTGGATAGACAAGATCTTTCCGTTTGATGTTGTTGTTGTTAACCACACTGCTTGTTGGGTGTTTGGGCAGAATAAAACTACATAAATGGTCAGTAAGAAATATATATATACACATTTTAAATAATATCTAGCTAACAATATATAGCTTAAATGAAGTTTAAAATTAAATTCCCTGGGAATCAAACCCATAATCTTGCTGTTGTTAGTAATAAAAATAAAGTAATAAAAATTAAATATAAATAAATAAAATAATAATAAAAAATAAAAGTAATAAAGTAATTAAATAAAACCATAAATAAATAAAAATATAAATACATAATAAATGCATTTTCCCGTAATAAATGGGACTTTTGAAGTACACTAGCATGGATGGCCTTAAAGCTATAAAGACATGGATTACAGTAAAAAAAACAAATATATATATATAATAAAAATACCAAATTTCTCAAGAGTCAAATTTAGATTTCAGGAGGTCTTAAAGGAGAATTATACAAGAATTATTCTTACATCAGGCATTCCTCAAAGATTACACCTGAGGTTGTATTATAAACCAAAGCACCTTGGTTTGGAATATCAAAGAGCGTTGTAAGTTATGCTAATTAAAGCATCAGATGTGCACTGAGAGGACTGTGAGGTGGCCAACATGCTGAGCTTAGCCCTGCATGGAACTGATAGGCTGTCAGGATGCCGCTGAAAGCATTTGTAATTCTGTTCACGACTAAACTGGTTACAGTCCCAGAGTCCTCTGCAGAGTGTGCGCCGAGCCGAGGCTCAGACTGCGTCATGCTCACAACCCACAGCAGGAGCAGAGACAGAGATTCAGAGACAAAGAGAGAGAGAGAGAGAGAGAGAGACCACAGGCACTGCACTTTAAACGATCAGCGCAGATGTCACACTACGAAATGCTATCCAGATTCAGCCAAAAAGCTCCAGGTGACCCACTCTTCCTAAATTAATCACATCCAGACGGTGTCGGTTCTGGTCAAATCTTTCATCACGTCCCTATCTGCAAGAATGGATGGAGACATTTTGCAAAACTGCAGAACTACGAGACAAATGCATTAGTAGACAATTTCCCATGTTTAGGCCTAAGCACTAACACCAAAACAGCACTATTCCACCAATGACCTCTCCAAGGTGACACTGCAGTCTGTCTGGATCACATCTGACGTCACGGGCTGCAATACTTTGGGACGCTGCAGAAGGGGTGGGCGGTGGGCCTGGGGCTGAAAACCTGTCATCTGCACCATTGTCAATGTAAATTATAATTAAACCATTCCATAATCTGCACAGCCTATCGGTGCTAAATATAACATCTACCACTATGCACAAAACATACAGCACCGGTTCTACTGCAAACAGTTAAAGGTTAAAACATTCTACCAGTTCTTTCATGCATCAGATGACCACATCCATCCCAAAAAAGACCCCGCATGAAGATGCTTTCACACTTTATCACAACAATTGCTGTTTCAATTCTTTCCTATCTCTCAAGTCTTCAAAAACATGTATTAATGCTAGAAAGCAGAGGCCTCGTCTATAAAACATGCATATGATTAGACTTAATCCTACAATTAAATGAGGAAAAAAAATTGAGATTTATAAAGGCAGAAACTAGGACTGCATTATTCTTTTTTTTTAATAAAACTGAATGTGTGATGTGTCTTAGTGCTATGATAAGTCTCGAAGGCTGTGATTCCATTAAATTTGTAATGAGAAGTGATTATAACCAGCTTTAAAGTCGGCATTAAACAGAAGTCTTTTCTTCTTTGCGAAATATGAAAACTTCTCGAAAGACAAAAAAAAAAGAAAAATGTAGGGTGGGATTTGATGTGGTCCACTGGGAATTGATTGGATCATTGGATTGTTGATGTTTGCTATTGCTGCGATCTCATGTGAGTGACAGGTTGACCCGCTCTTGCACCGAGACATACGTAATCAGGGATGAGAAAAAAAATGTTGTTGCAAGAGGGAGGGAAATTATTTTATTTAAGATTATGAGGGCACATAAATTTAAAAAAATAAAGATGTGTACAGATAAATCATTTATAATAAGCACTGCAATATCCCATAAAAATAAGATTTGTCAATTCTGATTTCATTGTAAGTTTAAGGTCGTCCAGCAGTTTTCCACTAAAATTTAATCTTGATGGTTTAATGTTTGAAAATAAAGAAATTAATTATATTCTTTTTTCTAAAATACCCCTTTGTATTTTACAGTAAAATATTACAAGAGTAATACTTCTTGTGTTTAATATTTTTATTTACCACTACTACTACTATTATTAATATTGTTGCTGTTATTATTTTATAATAATATTGATATACAATTACACTATTTATATGGTGACAGTCACAAATTATGCAGCCATACAAACAAGCACAGCAAACCCAGAGCTTTTTTTAAATTGCATTTTTTACAAAGCTTGCGTCACTTTTGGAGCAAGGAGGAGTAAGAATCATGATCAGATAATGATGTGGACTTAAACATCAGCGAATGATTCTTTAATTAAATGATGATTTAAAAAATGTGCGATCCATAAAGCAGGATGCATTTAGCAAAGTGCGTTTTATGCATTGTCTGCAGGAACATTTGGGAAATGATTTTTTAATATCACATTTAATATCATTCTCTACAAGTTTTATGAATGAAGTTCCAGGTACTTCAAGAAAATTGAAGCTTCACATACTACATTAATTATTTGCAATAGCTGAGAAATCTGAAAGCCATCTCCAAATGAATATAAAGCAAAACTATGAGAAGCAAACCAAAAGAGCCAACAATGGATATAGATAAGCTTCTAGGGAGAGCATGAGAACATGTGATGAGGACTGACGCACAGTCCATTGAGAATCAACAGGTGCAACCAAAAATACCTATACTCCTATAGTGGAGCTGTACAGGGTCCATACAGAGACCGGAGAGCTGAGAGGCTGTAATTACCTCACATAACAACCCAGAAGTGCAATGAATTCAGAGAAATAAGTGAGTGACACTGTGATCACATAGCCTTTATGATATAAAGGCAGCACTTACCAGCGACCTCCACAATGTCTCCAGGCACAATTTCTTTGGCTTTGATCATCTGGACGGTCTTCCTGTCCTGACGGTACACCTTGCCCATCTCTGGCTCGTACTCCTTAAGAGCTTCAATGGCATTTTCTGCATTACGTTCCTGAGATGGAGAGAATCAAATGTGAAAAAAAAGAATATTGTATTCACTGGCAAATTCAGCATTTGAGTTTGGGATGGAACTTTCTGTTAGACAGATGTGAGAAACCCGTTTGATAACAGTCTTTATGTGTTCCAATTGTGCAGAAATGACATACTTAAATTGATGACTCTTTTCATGCTCTACTGACCTGCCAAACACCTACGATGGCGTTAGCTATAAGAATTAGTAAGATTACAAAAGGCTCCACAAAGGCGGTGATCGTTTCATCTCCCTCCTCGAACCAGGCTAATACCTGCAATAAAAAAAATAAATAAAAAAAGTCATGTCACAACACGTCCCATTAGATCTAATAAAATATTTTACATTCAGAATACCCCGTGGATATTTTAAGACTGGTAGATCAAGATTCTAGTCAAGACACGCCAGTGACATTTACCTTCTCATAACAGATTCAACACAACCAGTTTACAAATGAGACCGTTTAGATTGCATAATCTGCATGATTTGAAACAAAAAGTTTAAACACAGGGAAAAAAAACGGGTCCGAGCGGCATGACGAAAGCCCAACGCAGCAGTATGTTTTAATGACTGGAAATAAAACTCTTACAGCTCACTGCAGCCACAGCACGACATGTTATTTCCCTCATTAAATGCATTATTACATATGGACTCCTCCTAAAATAAGAAGTTGCGACATCTATTTACTTTCCTTCACATCATAGACTTTTATAGCAACTTAGAGAGCAGCTTTGATTTGGACCTTTAAAAATGGATTTGCAAGATCTTTCTCGGACAGAAAGTCCTTAGATGCATAGCATGAAGAGCATATGCCGAGACTGAAGCCCTCTAATCAACATTTTGGTGGTGTTCTCACGAGACAGTGGAGTTACTGGTCTGTGGTAATGAGAAGGCCTAATTTGGCCTGCAGAGATGCCCTCTTACACAGCCAACTACAAGACAGCTGTCAAACCACAGACTCCAACACCTCAGTATCACTCCGCTGGGTGATGCTGGCATACCTCTCTCCTTCCACCCAACCAGCCAGTTTAATCTCATCTGATGGATTGTAACTAATGATTTTGGCCAGCCAAAGAATAAAGATCCTTACTTTTTTAGTTATATTATGAGAGAAAATGAATGAGTGAATATATATATACACACAACATTAAAATATGAATTGCTATAGATAGATAGATAAAACTGCAATATATTGCAATCCCATGTTATTTGTAGTTATTGATATTTTAATACATTAAAGCACAATTATTGCACATTTTTAAATATATATATATATAGATGGATGGAGAGAGATATATAAATACTATTACACAAAAAAATAAAACTGCAATATATTGCAGTAATTTATTAATCACTATCCCATGTTATTTGTAGTTATTAATATTTTAATACATTAAAGCACAATTATTGCACATACATACATATATATACACACACACACACTCACATGCATACATACATATATTTTGTGAATAGTTCTTTAAAAAAAAATCTTTCATATAGGATATTAACCCATGCGCAGTTTGTACCAACAACCTGTTACTTACTAGGGCCAATCTTTAACCACTAGGCTACACCATCACTATTTTAAGCACTGGTTCCATACATAAATTTGATTGACAAGCTAACTACACAACACTTTTAAGTCTCCAAGCAAACAGCCACATGTCTTCATTCAGTGGTAATCTATCTATGCTACTTAATCAAGAGGTCCTTAAACCATGGCTGTAAAACAGCAGTGCACTACTAAGACATCTTGTTTGGCAGTTAGTGACAGACACTCAATCTCACTGAATGCTGTTGTCACCATTCCTAAGGAGTTCCGCTTCCTCAGCTGTTTAGCATTTCGGATCTGCGAGTAACCCAAGACGAGGCATGCAAGACTCAAGGAGCTAACAAGACATCTTCACATTCACAGCTCTTCCGGATAGCAGTCGGTGTTTATTTCAGTGCATGCATCACTGTAGTTTGTTTCTAGTGTAAAGCAATCAACACCTGACATGAATCTGTGCTGAATCACATCTGAGAAATGGCTGTACTGACTCTATTTGCACTCAAAGAATATTGCACAATAACAATAAGTGCAGAAATCTGCCTGAACATGTGACTAAAATGTACTTACAAAAGATATACAAGCTGCCAATAGAAGAATCCGCACAAGTAAATCTTCAAACTGCTCGATGACAAGTTCCCATATAGATTTTCCTGTCAAACATCAAAATTAAATCGATCAATATCACATGAGTAGAATGATAACATCATGTTATTGTTTAAAATGTAATATTACCTTCCTCAGCAGGCAATTCTGATTGTTTTATTGAAGGATATGAAAAAGAAAGCATACAAAAGTTACAAATACACACCCTGAATACATTCCAAAGCATAAATTGATTTGACATTGACTAAAACACAATTGTTAATTACATTAAGACCTGTAGCTTTATTAGAACATATTAAAACTCAAAGATTAAATGGAAACATAAAAAAAGATTTTAAAAAAACAACAACTTTGATGAACACTACTTCCAAGATGTAATGTAATATTTCAGAAGAGATTAACTGTCATAAGCACCTTCCACTCTGAGAGGAAAAATGTGAATGAATATTTGATTTTAATCCAAACGAGTGAATATTTGGCCCCTCTTTGAGCACATGCTGTGAAACATTTACAAGCCGTTTCTGAGCCGGGTGCTGACAGGGATATTTTCATCCATATCTTCATAAAAGCATGATTCTGTATAAAGGATGAAAGAGAAAGACTGGAGACCGGCCTTAGCTATGCTCGCTTTGATTGTCCTGCGACATAATAAACGGGTGGGAGCTAAACATCTCTTTCAGCTTATTTCTGACCTATGTGTGCCTGTTTTCCACCTTGTCAAAGTCAATGAAAATGAGCATGGCAAGCTATTTTAACATTTTTTTTTCTTTTCTAAGTAGCATCCATTTCTATGTCATCAGCACTTATTAATCACTTGTTGATAATACAACTGTGACTAATATTTTTCAGTTTCACTAGTACGGATTTCTTGGCTACATATCACAATGGCAGTAAAGACAAGTGTCTATTCCATTGTTATTGGTAACTATTTAAAAATGTTTGCCATTGATTTCTATGGGAATCTGTAGTTCCGACTAGTCTGTAGACCAGATGCTGCCTATTCTAGTTTTACTAGTAACTATTCATTAGGTACTAGTACTTTTTTTTTCTTTCCCAGTAGTTGCTTCTACACATATTCAAGCTTTACTAGTCCTTATTTATTAGATGATAGTATCTAATAAATAGGGCTGGGTATCGAGTTCGATACTTTTTAGGCACGAACCGAAATGCCTCGATACCATCGAGTATTGAAAAATGTCTCGTCGTTCGGTAACAAATTTCGATACCTAAGGGGTTAATCTCATCAGCGTCAGTGAGCCAATAAGCCTGTAGCACTAGCCGGTGTGTTCGACTAGAAGAGGTGCGGCGCAGATCGATCAGTGTTTGACATCCGCGAGAGCAATTCGAAAGCGCACGGAGCAGTCTGCTCTCTTTAGCACTCGTGGTACTGTAATACACCGATCGGTCTGCACAGTCAGTCCGCGTCAAGTCGAACACACCTACTAGTTTACCCTGGTTACACTCAGAGATGTGGCGCACATGTGAGGCTGTAGTGCGAATGCGTCCCAGCCCCCTTAGATGTAAGGCTAGAATTTACAATGGTGCTTTTATGTTTTAAAATGAAAATGATCCTCATCATACTGGCGTTTCCACTGCGTTTCAAGCCGGCTTTCCACTATCTCCAACAAGCGACAGACCGGTCATTCAGTCATTCATTTCCAATGGAGAGTAGTGCGGAAACTGCGTGGAGTTCCGATCATATGCAGATGTCCGTTCATACTACAC